AAGGAAAAGGAGGATGAGCAGCAGGAGGAGGACGAAGAGGTGGGGGTGGAGGAGGAGGAGGAAAGAAGGAAGAGGATAAGAAAGGTGGAGGAGGAGGAAGAGGAGACAGAGATGCATAATGAAAAAGAAAAGGGCAAGTTAAAGAGAAGAAAGAAGGAGATCAAAGAGGAAGACGAATAAGTGAAGGAAGACACGAGGCCAGAGAGAGAGAGAGAGAGAGAGAGAGAGAGAGAGGAACAAAAGAGAGTAAAGATTTTTTTTTATTCCCAGGGCCTAGAACGCCTTCCTTTTAACCCGCGTGACCAATGTTGGTGTGAAATCGAACTAACTCTCAATCGCCAGACCTTAAAACCGGTTCGATATGGCCCATGCTCTGTTTCTCTCACCTTTTCGTGGCCCCCTTTCCCTCGACCCTCTCAGAATCACCTGCCTCCTCCTCTGTACCTGGCGCTGATTATCATGATTGTTATTATTGCTGCTGTTTTTTTTTTTCTCATATGCTTCCGCTTTTCTCGTTCTCTCGTGTTTATCATTATCATTATTATAACTGTTATTAGTGATGATTTTTCTCATCTCTTCTCTGCTTCCCCTTTACTCGGTCCTTCTCTGAATCATCGGTCTCCTTCTCTGGTACTTATTATCATCAGTATTATTGCTGCTGTTTCTTTCACCTTTTCTTGACCCTCTCTGAATTTCCGGTCTCCTTTTCTGATCATCGTTATTATTAATACTACTGTCATTTTATCGTTTTATCATTGTTATTACCATTAGTATCACTGCATTTCTTAATCCCCATTATCATTATAATTGTACTGGTTCTTCGCTGTCACTGTATGTCACTAACTTTCCAGCGCCTATTCACCGACGTACTATACAGCACAACAATCCATTACAAAACAAAACACAGACCATTACAAGACAAAAAACATTTATACCCCCAACACAGTAAAAACATCCTACCCCAATACAGTACAGAAAATCCTACCCCAGTACAGTACAGAAAATCCTACCCCAGTACAGTACAGAAAATCCTACCCCAATACAGTACAGAAAATCCTACCCCAATACAGTACAGAAAATACTAACCACTCTTACTACAGTACCGCAGAACCCGCTTTGCACCCTACCCCTTAAAACCCTTGCTTCACCCTGTAAGACCTGCAAGACCTTATCCAACCCTAAGGGAAGGCCACTGTTAAGACCCCCAGACGCCCTCGGGCAGTGAGCAAGGGCGGAGGAGGGGATACAGTGGGCGTGGGAACATCACGTGAAGGAAACAACGAAACTGAGAAAAGAGACTGCACGTAAGTGAACGACAAAGGCCTTTTTCTTGTTCTCACGTTATGTTTGTTTTCAGGCTTTCTTGATATTGTTGTCTCTGTTGTTATTGTTCTTGTTGATGGTGTTTGGTTCAGGAGGGAGTATGTGAACTGTCACGGCAACAATGTAGGGTTACGTTCAACTTTGCTGGTCACATGTTTTTGAGCTAGTCTGTGTCTGTTCATCTGTCGCTGTCTCTGTCTATCTACCTGTGTGTGTGTCTGTGTGTGTGCGTGTGTGTCTGTGTGTGTGTCTGAGTGCCTCTCTCGCCGTAATCAAGGGAGGAAATTAGAATTCATTGTTCAAGCATAAGGTTTCTAAAAATAAAAATGAAAATGAACCTTGCTAAGTTCTCTTTTCTTCTCCTTTGTATTATTTTTCTTTTTTTTTCACTTTCTGTTTTCTATTTTTCATTTTTTCCCTTTCCAATTTTTATTTTCTAACCTTTACTCCTATCTCTTTTTTTCCTATTAATTTCTTTTCTTTTCTGTTTCACTTTATCACCGTCTTCCCTTTTCTTTCCTGAAACATAATTTTCCCTTTCTCTCTTTCACCCTCTACCCCCCCTTCCCATCCGTTATCCCTCTCCCACCCTCTCTCCCCCACCCGTTTCTCTTTCTCTCTCTCTCTCTCTCTCTCTTCTCCATTCCACGGGGCAGAGATCGACGACGGGTCCAGGTCACTCGATTCTCCCACGTGATCTCGATACCGGAAGAGCAGCCATTATCTCTCTTCTTCTACGGGACGATTAGAAGCCACCGACTCATGATTGGGCTTTCCGGGAAGTGAGGGCTGGGCAGGAGGGCTTGGTGGGGGAGGGAGAGAGGGGGGAGGGGGGGGAGGGAGGGATGGGCAGTGTGGGAGGGAGGGAGGGGGAGGGGAGGAAGGATGGGGAAGGAGGGGTGGAGAGCGTGGGGAGGAGGATGGGTGACAAGGGAAAGGAGAGGGAGGAAAGGGCGGAGAGGAGGAAGGGTGGGGAAGGAAGGAGGGAGGGAGGGTGTGGGAAAAAAATGGGCGTGAAAGAATGGGAGAGGGAGGGAAGGATCGGAAAGAAAGGGAGAAGGGACGGGGTAGGAGGGATGAAGAGGAGAAAGGATGGGGAAGGATGGAGAGTCTGGGAAAAGGAAGAAGAGGGAAGGAAGGATAGAACCTGGGAGGAAGGGAGAGGGAGGCGAAGCTGGATAGAGGAAAACAGAAAGAGGAAAGAGAAGCAAAGGGCAGAGAAAGAGAAGATTAAAAAGGGATGGCATAAACCACACCGAGTTCCACGAAGAAACATATGCGCGCATCATTAAAATCTTGGAACGAAATTATAACAGTTTTTTCTCTCTTTTTTTTTGTAATTCCAGAAACTCGACTAAAGGCAAGATTTTCGTATTTCTCGTGTATTTGACCCAAATGACCGGATTTTGAATATTAGAAGTGCCATCTGGTTTTAAACGACTGCTAACAAGCGAGTAGCCCCAAACCGGCCGTTCGCTGAGCAACCAAAGATCTCTTTAAAAATACCAATTACGCGCATAAAAAATGTCATTAACATATATCGTATACTTATAGAAGAGTTAAAGAAGATGCAAAGATATACATTTTTTTCCCACGTGCCCAACCTTAAAACCGTTACGTAAGCTACAAGGTAAACATCTTTGAAAACCATAACACAGTCATTAGAAAGCAGAGAATCGTTAAGCATCTTCAACACAGACTAAAGTATTTATTAATTTTATCATCATTTTTTTTAAAGAATACATTGCGTAACCTGACAAGCCTATTACGAAGACGTTAGACTCCAGCTGCCACCTCGTTCAAATTTCGTCATTGACTTTCTTCAATATCTTTAAGTATTTTTCCAGGCAATTGGTTTACTTTATTACTTTCTAGTGGTTTCTTTTATTCAAATTTGATGATTCGTTAAAACCGTTTAGATTTGTGAACCTTTTTAAAAATATTCTTATTTGAATTTAATTTTTTAAATTGTTTCTGAGGAGGCTGTTTACAATTTTTCTTTCAGATTCGAAAATCATCTTATGTTTTTAAGTCAACCTTTCAAGTTCGTAATAAGACAAGAATAATGACTAATTCTTATATGAAAAAGTAACCAGCTTATGTTTCCAGAATCAGGTAAAACAGTAATGATAATGATAACACAGTAACGACCATTATTAATAATAATACTAATAATGATAACAGCAATAATGATAATGATAAAGACTTGCATTGATGATAATGATGATGATAATAATAATGATAAAAAATAATAATGATTGTGATAATGATAATGACATTAATAATGATAATGATAGTAATGATAATAATGATAACAGTGATGATTGATGATTCATATTACATTTACTGAGAGCCTCAAAACCACAAAATTGCAGACTGAGGCAAATAGTAACATGCAAAAGGTAATATTTCCATGTCAAATTATTGAAAAATCGATGGCGGTGTTGTGAAAATTATGATGATGATGACAGTAATGATAATGATTACGATATAAAAAAAACAGCACCAATAATACTAATAACAATAATAACAAGCACCAACAATAATACCAAGAATAATGATAATGAAAATTATTTGAATAACAGTAACGATACCAAATTAAAAATACAACAGTAATGACAATAATAACAAAAATAACAATAATATCGATGCATCATCAACAACAATAATAACACTAATTAAAGAGAGCAAACACACACAGGCGTAGATCCACCCATGCAAATTACAAGTACATTTTCGAAAAGCCGACGCACGCTTTCTCGCACAATTCATTAACTTCCCTCAATTGTCGGAAGCTCGAAGCGCCCTGTTTAACAAACTTCTAACACACGTCACTGCCTCCTGCCTCTTCCCCTCCCTCTCCTTCGCTCCCCCCCTCCCCCCTTTCTCTTATATTCCCCTTCCTCCCTCTCTCTCTCTCCTTCACTCTCCCTCATCTTTGCCACCTTTCCTCTCCCTCCCCCCCCCCTTCTGTCCTTCACTCCCTTACCCCCCCCCCCTTGATCACTCGTGCTAAATGGGGTTAAATTGGCCTTTTTTTGACCCTGTGTATGGCTATGAAGTGTTTTTTTTTGTGCGATTTTCTGGGGAAGCTGGAGATAAGCTGGGGGAGAGAGAGGGAGGGGAGTGACAAATCTGTTACGCTTTTATTTTTGTTTCTTCAGTATCTTCAATATTTCTATTCTTATAAATATGAAATCACGGTGGATTCATGTATCACAGAAACGTTTTTTTCTTTTCTTTTCTTTTTTTTTTACAATTTCACTTTTTTATACACAATGCCATCATTTTTCCAAACAATGACTTCACACCAGTTCTTAACACGATCCTTTGACGTTTTATCACTTCTGGGGTTAGTTACTTACTGACGCCTTGAAATTACCGAAAAAAGCGACAGACGTTTCTTTTCATTGTTTCTTGTTTTTTAATGTTTTTTTTTCTATTTATTCTTGAATGAACAATATATATATATATATATATATATATATATATATATATATATATATATATATATATATATACACATATATGTACATATACATACCAATACCAATATCCGCACACATCTTGCTTAGATATTATTTCCCTTTTCCATGTCACCGAATCTAATAGAACAAAATTTCCTTTTTTTTCCACACAACTGACTATTTTCCTTTTACCGATCCCCGCGCACAAACCGCCTGCCGCGACTCGCTCACAAGGCGACTGGGCGATGACTGCCTGGCCGGCCTTCGCGTTCGCAGAGCACCGCCAGAGCTCGTGCGCGGGCTGATGTGCAGGCGCGTGAAGTCGGGGCGTTCGTGGAAGAGGTGGGAGCGACTGGGAGCGAGTGTTTTGGGGTAGGAAAGGGGGTTAGAGAAAAGGGATAAGGGAGAGGCAAGTGGGGGTGGAGAGGGGGGGAAGGGTGTATGGGAGGAAGAGGGGGGAGAGGGAAATGGTGAGGGAGAGGAGGGGTGAAGGGTAGAAGGTAGGAGAGAGAAAAAGCTGGAAGTGGATGGGGTAAGGGTGATGAGGGAATAAAAACGGGGGAAGGGGATACGGAGAAATAGAGAGAAAGAAGTATGAAAATGAAAAAAGGGAGAACAGTAAAAAATAAACAAAGTGGACTGAAGAAATATAGGGAGAAAAACAAAACAAAACAGAGAAGCACAAGGAAAATGTATACCAAGATATAACGGAAGAGGGCATAGGAAGGGGCGTTCCTGGAAGGGGAGAATCCACGAAGTCAACGGATTCACCCGGATTGCGCGCTACCAGAACGCGCAGAACGACC